CAGACATGGTCTGCCGTGTCAGAACAGTTGTGTGGCCGGGCGTAGTGGTGTTCTTTTGTCTCTGTTGGCGGTTCCCGTGGTGCTGGTGCTCGGAGGAACTTCAGGTGTTTCTCGTACCCCTGTTGAGGGGCCCGGGTCCCGTGCACCCAAGGTTGTAGTTCCCATGCTGGGATGATGGCGATGCAAGCATCGGTGCCGATGGTGTACTGGCCTGGCGCATGCAGGCGGAGGATCATGAATGGACCGAGATGTTGTTTGCAAAAACGTCGGGATGCCGCATGGAGTTTGGTGGATGCGGTGCGTGGGCGTACGGCAACCATATCCCCTGGATAGAAGGTGGGGTGTTTGGCCCAGTTGGCCTGCTGCAGGGATTGCCGCTGTTGTTGTCAGAGATAGTTGGCCACTGCTTCGGTTTTGACGGCAATTGGAGGAACTGCGCCAAAGTGATTGTCGGCCTCCATGCGTGGATCCTAGCCCAGGAAGACTTTGCTCGGTGTAGCCCCCGTCGAGGTATGTGGCGGGAGGTTATATGCCGCCACGGCTGTTGGTAAGTAGATATGCCAGTTGGCACTATCCTCTTTTGCCAGTTTTGCCTGTATTTGTCCAATGGTGCGAATGGCCCGTTCGCATGTCCCATTGCCCTCCGGGTGATTGGCCTGCGCAATGTGTTGTTCGCACCCCGCCTGTGTCACGAATTGGCGAAAGGCACGGGATTTAAAGATTGTGGCGCGGTCCTAGTGTATGGTGCGGAACTTTCCCACGTCCTTTAGGACAGTATGGATGTTGGCAATGGCCGTTGCCGTATCTGCTCGCGGTACTGGGGTGGCAACCAGGAACTTGGAGAATTGGTCCATCGCGATGAACGCGTATTTGTGTAGCCCGGTAGATCGCGGGAGGGGCCCATAGAAGTCAATGCAGAGTCGGTCGAATGGCTTTGTCACAGGTATCCCGGTCATGAGTTCTCCTGTGATTTTTGTGCTGTCATTGTACGCAAAGCATTCGGGGCAGTCCACAAGTTGGCGCCAGATTGTGTGGCGCATGTGTGGCCAGGAAAAGCATGCGCGGAGTGTGTGCAGCACTTTCTTCTAGTGTGCGTGCCCAAGGTCAATGTGGTAGCGTTTGATGACTTTGCGGTATTGTCCCGGGTGTACCGCCAGGCGTAGGTCGGCTGCCTGGATGGAGACCCGACTGAGGGCGTCGGGCGCGTGTAAGGATGCGCCGGGCCGGTATTCGATTTCCCCTTGGTATTGTCCAAGCTTCATTTGCATGTGGATGAGGCGGGAGGATTTGAGCTCGCCAAGGAGGGGCTGGTGGTCCGTTATCATTTGGAACGCTCGGTGCTCCAAATAATGACGAAACTTCTTTGTTACGGCCCAAACCATTGCGAGGAGCTCGCGTTCAGTGTTTGTGTATCGCGTTTCTGTCGCTGTGAGTACCCGGCTGGCGTACTGAATGACGGCTGGCCCGGTTTTGGGGTGTACCTGGACCAGGACCGCCCCGAGGCTTGTGGCGGAGGCGTCGGTGTGTACTTCAATAGGTTGCCGTTCGTCGTAGCGTTCCAGTCGAGCTGCGTTGGCAATTGCGGTTTTCAGATTGTGAAACGCGGTCTCAGCTGGTGTTGACCACCGGAGGGTCGTGCTAGGTTTGGCGGGGATGGTGGTGCGCAGCACTTTCTCCGCCATAGCAAAATTGAGGGGCACATGGGCCCGTAGATATGTTGCAAGGCCTAGGAACCTCTGCATCTCTTTCGTTGTGCTAGGACGAGGGTATTGCTCCACCGTGGTCAGGTTGTGTGGGGCTGGCCGTGCTCCAGTTTGATCGATGATTAGTCCCAGGAACTCGATCTGGTTGGCAAGGAAGGTGGATTTGGCGATGTCGATAGCTGCCCCGGCCTCGTCCAGGGCTGTAAGGATGTCCTGGAGGTTTTGGCACACCGTCGCGTAGGTGTCGCCAAAGACGATAATATTGTCAATGTAGGCTAGACACTTTGTTAGGAGATGTGGCCGCAGGATAGAGTTGATGGCGCGTTGGAACAGCGCTGGCCCGTTCCGTAGTCCAAAGGGCAGTACTGCATACTGCATCTGTCCTTGGGGTGTCAAGAAGGCCGTCTTCGGGCGGTCTTGGGGCACAATGGGCAGATGGTGGAAGGCGCTGTGTAGATCCACGGTGCAAAAAAACCCGTTGCGTCGGCCCAGGGCATCGATAAGGTCCTGGATTATTGGCATTGGGTAGTTGTCCTGGACTAGCAAGGTGTTGAGTTTTCGGTAGTCTTGGACGAGTCGCCATCGCTGTCCTGCGGGAGCATCCGGTTGGCCGTTTTTCTTTGGCGTGAGGAACGCCGGTGAATTGTAGGGGGACGTCGCCGGCTCAATGATGCCGGCCTGGACGTATTCGGCGATGATCTCCTTGAATGGCGCGAGTTTGTCCGGCGCTTGGCGGAACAGTGGGGATGCTGGCGGTGCCCTGTCTGTGGTGTCCAGTGTGACAGTGTACTCGGGGAGGCATCCCCGTCGTCTGGACCACTGAAAAACGGCGTCCTGATGCTGGAGCAGGATGTTGCGGATTCCCTGTTGTTCGTGTGTTGTACCATTGACAAAGTGTATGCTGTGGCCTGCAATGAGGGCTGGCTGGGCCCGTCGTTTGGAGTGGTAGCGGTAGCCAATGTACAGGTGGTTGCCTTCCAGGCCAATTGTGAGGGGTAACTGGCTCATGAGGTTGCGTCCCACAATGATGCGGTGGGCTGCGCGTTGGAGCACCCAGAGTGGCGAAAGGTAGGGCCGCTTGTGTATGACAAGGTCCACCTGCACTTTGGAGGTGATGCCGATGTTGGTTGTGTCAGCGGTGGACACCGTTACGTCCGTCGGGATGTAGGACAGTCCCAAACGTGTGGCCCACTGATGCTCAATGAAGGAGTGGGAGGCGCCGGTGTCAATCATTGCGTCGCACTGCTGGCTGCCGATGGCCACGCAGATGAGGATGGGGTCGGAGGCGGTTGCGACAGTGTTGAGGAAGCAGAGCGCCGCAGTGCCTACTCCCTCCATCCGTTTCCCGTCTGCTGGGTACATTCCTTGAAGTGGTGTCCCGTTTTCTGGCTGGTTGTGCACTGTAGCACGCTGCTGGCAGTAGCTCCGTAGGTTTTCTCCTTGTCGGCGCGGTCCCGTTTTGTGTAAGCAGGGTGCTTGGTTTCGCGGAAGCGGGCCCTGCACGTGTCCGTTGTGTGTCCCTGGGACCGGTGCCAGTCGCAGTATAGCTTTGTTCCCGGGGACGCCCGGGGTGGACGGTCTGCTCGTGGTTTGGTGTTGGTTGCGGGTCTGGTCCCGGTGTCCAATTGTTCGTCCAGCAGGTTGCGGATACTGTCGGCCAGGTCAATCAGTTCGTCCCACTGGATATCCGGTTGTGTATTCAGCTTTGCTTGGAGTTTGTCGGCAATTCGTCCATCCGCCACTTGAAGGAGCTGTTCAATGAGCATTGGGTGCATCACGTGAAGATGATCTGGGGTGACGTCGTCAGGTGCCAGTCTGAGGAACAGCTGATAGTCGTCCTGCAGCCGTTTGGCGAAGCATCGGTACGTCTCGTTGCTTTTGAGTTGCAGCTTTTGGAATCGGCGCAGTCGTTTGTACTGCGGTGTGGGATGGAAACGGGTGATCGCTTTCACCATTTCTTCAAAGGTGCGGGCCCCTGTGGCATACGCCCGTTGTGCGGTGTTGGAGACATCGCGGGACGTGTTGTGGATGAGGCAGCGGACTTTGTCGTTGTCGTTGACGTTGTCAATGAACAGCAATTCACGAAGCCGGATTGCGTAGTCTTCAAAGTCTTCGTCCGCGCACTGTTTTGGCAGGTCGGGTGCCTGGTGATCATGTACGCATCAGGATGGCGGTGGCGGTATGCGGGGCCCTGGCAGGAGAGCAGTGTGCCCTGCTTCGTTGTTGTTGGATATCTGAAACATGAGTAACGTTACTGGTGAAATCTGTAGGTTTTCCAACAAGGTGACGTAGCTGGTTTTTTCTCCCGTCAGGGGCCTTTCGGCCACGTAAGTCTCCGTGAAGCGTTGCAACGTCTGGAGGGATATGAAGTCCCATGGATGCAGTGTGGAGGTGGATGAAAGCACGCTGGGCAGCCTGCCCAGCGCTGTCGATGACGCGTCGGAAGGGGCGTTCTCCGCAGAGGGCCCCGGGAGGTCCGTTGGTGGCACAAGGGACGCTGCACATGCTGTTTGCAGTTGTGCCAGCTCGGTGGCAGCACGTTCAGCTGCGCGAGAGGTCTCAGTGTCACGTGGCATTGTTGGTTTGGTCGGGGATGGGTTTGGTTTTTGGTTTTTTGTTGGCAGGACGAGCCCCCAGTAAGTGTACGGCCGGTAAAGTAAATGTACGGAGGTTTCAGGGTGTTAGGTACACTGGTGATAGGGTTGTATTTTCTTCTTGCACAAGTAGGAGATTAGGGAACAGTCACAAGAGTGGCACTTGGCGCGTTGTAGAAGGATTGGAGAAGGAGCTGTGGAGTGTCAGGAGGTTGTTGTAGTACTGAAGCTTTGTCCCTTTTTGCTTGCTTAAGTGCTGGTGCTGTTGACCCTGGGTCCCATTAGGTTCTCTTGTGTTTCTGCGGCAGATGTTGTTCCCGGTTGGGGTCCGTTTAGGTTCCCCTTGTTCGGTTTGTGGGATGTGCTTCCCAGGTTTGGCTTAGGGTTGTGTCCTTGCGGTTTTATGTGATCTGTGGGAGAGATAGTGTTTGGCAGTAATGTGCTTTCCGTGTTTGTGCTCTTTTTGTGATAAGGATCTCTCACTGAATGGAGCTTGCGTTTAGTGGAAGTTGTACCATAACGTCGCCTCAACTTCTTGAGCTACAGAGTAGAAGGGAACAGCCTAGCGTGAAAGTTAGTGGTGTAAATTGTGGGAGAACATGTATACAGTAGTAAAGTAGATGAATCCTGAATTACATTTCAGACGCTGTTCAAGTGCTAGCGTTCATTTTGCAATGTTCCAGTGACTTACAAGAAATTTTGGATGATTCCTGGACTGCGACTGGTGTTGGTATTCAGTCGCCTGGTAATTCACAGTGACGACATTCGTGATCGTGACGAGTCGTCGGCAACATTTTCCTCGTCGACGTTGACCATCTTGTATCTAGAGAGAATGTTGAACAACGTGATTTATTCTTCAGTCCGCCACAGTCTTGAGAAGTGGGTGGCGCAATAGTCGAATTAAATTATTGGATGTACGTAGCGTTAAAAATGTATTGAAAGGTATAAGGAATGGGTGAATAAGTAACTTGTAGTGGTGAATTTTAAGCAGTCAGGCGTACCAAATTCACGGTGCGATTTTGAGAGTTGATAAATTCGCGCGATCACTGAGATATGGGGATAATTCGCGGATCTGATCGCAGCGACCGAGATCAGCGCTGGTGGAATACTCCAACGTCGTAACGTGAGGGACTCGACCTGATACCGTGTTTCTTTCCGCCGTTAAATCAAGAAAAATCGTTCGATACTTTGCTGTGGTTCATTCCAATGAAGCAACATCTACATATCTGACCATTTTTTTCAATTCAGAAGTTTCCGCCTGTATTGATGATAACTATCGTAGTTATTCCCAGAGGTCGTTATCTCAATTGGCCGCAATATTATATTTGTGGGATATTCCAGAGCGAGTCAATGGATCGAGTACCCTGCAATCATGATGGGGAATTCACGCTGATTGATGAGATTCCACTGCGGTAGAAACTCGTGCGTAATTAAAAATACAGTCATGGAATTAATCTGATCAATAATTTTTTTCATGAAACAAACGATTCCAACTTGATGTTATTGTCCTGTGGATTTCATGATTGAAAGTCTCTTTTAATTTGATAATGTTTTTTGTTTTCTTTTCAGATTTATAAGAAGAAATTGGGCCATGAAAAACATTCGCGTTTGGGCCATCCTGCTAATATTGAAATTAGCGTTAAGAACGGGTGATACACACTCTCCGAGCAAGAAATATCGCTTGACGTACCTGGATCCTGACGAGACGCGTCAAATTCTCCGCGAGGATGGACAGCGGGCTGATGAACAAGTTTTCGAAGTTTTCTGCTTCAGCGGATTTCGATCTGTTGCTCCACAGCATATTTTTACGTCGGTTAAGGTAAGTGCTGTTGTAACCGAAATTGTTGAACTTGCTTTCCGAATGACCATGATTATTTTGCAGTTTCGACTAGACACGAGTGATCGAAATTTTGCGACCTTCTTTGGTCCGAATGACACTTCTGTAGCCGAAGAATTTGATGCAGAAAAGAGTAAATGGCTTCCCACTCCAAAAGTCTTCGAATGGGGACCACCGTACAACATGCGGCTCTATCAACATGCATGTATCGGCATCTACAGTCGCCGTCCTTACGTGGTTCAACTTATCCATCAACGTAAGTTTGTGTAATGGTAAAATCGTGAAACTTGAATCGAAATCGTCCTTTACATGCCCTGCGTAAATCTGGATGACAAAATAAACACACTGAAAAGCGTGCATAAATACGTAGGACACGAAATCATAGCCGGATTAATGTAGGCTGGCCGCAACTTTAAAGTGCCCTTCATTTTTTCATTCTAACCGGATTCAAGATGACCTTTTGACAACATTCCAGAAGCTATCTTGTGAAGGGTGCATCAAAATTCGATTTAATTATAATATCGAGTTATCTAACACCTTTCTAGCCGAGTTATTCCCCTAAAAAAAAATTGTGAAGATCAAAAATTCCGATTTTTGGTTTGTTCCTTCAGGTTTCTCTTCGCAGCTGAGATCATGCTTCGAATCTTGCCCTTGTATTGAAAATATTTTCTTGGAGTATGTGATGCTTAACACTTGAATGGGTTCGACATTTTGGACCAGCGTGGCAACTGGTTTTTTTGCATGCCATCGGTTGAAGCCATCAATTCAGTGACAGCTTAATTTTTCACTAGTTTAATTCGGATGAAGACGTGCGTTGTACTACTCGTTTGAATGCAAATTTTTTGCTCGTGTATCCTTCTTGTTCAATCGAATGTTTTCGTAAGTCTACAAGTATTTCAATCAACCACGAAAACGTTGTCTCAATGAGTCACATATAGGAAGTGGAGTAAAACCGGCATCAAGGACGTATTCTCCTACATTGCAAAGGGCCTTTCTACTGGAAGAATGGTCGATTTGTGATTCCAGCTTTAGCACCAAATCAATCAACAAAATACTTTTTCTTTCGCTCGATTTGACGTTTTCTCGAATAAAATAAGTAAATGAGGAAAGAAAAATGAAACGCATTTGCATGGCTTCTGTTGTGTTCAATTGGAAATCAAGACTGGTGATTAACGATTGGTTCAGCTGAACTTTAGTTTCCATCAATGATCAAGCATGATTTTTTTTCCGTAATGCATCACAAGAATGATTTCACTTGTCAGCATTTATCAATGGAAATTCCGTCCTTTCTTTTCAGATGTGGATTTTCTTCGGCTTTTGGGATTCCTGATCGGTCTCGGTATATTTTGGAAAGCGAGGATGCTTTGCGTCAATGTTTTAGTTTACTATGGTTCGGGAATGCTCATTGGCATTGTTTGTTCTATGATTGTGCTTGTGTTCATTCTCGGAAGGAAGATTCCACGGGTGAGAGACGAATTTTGCTTTCATCTGACATTGAAAGGAGCTTCAACATTTTTCTTCTTTGAATAGAAATCGTTGGCAATGACTGTGATGGTCGGAGGATGGTCCATTGCGTTGTACTTGCTGAATTTGGCGAGAGACAACTTCGTTTCGTTGGTGTCAGCCTACAGTGTGATGTTCGGTGGCTACTGCGCTGCTTGCGCTTTGTTGAGCTTCTTTCTGATGTATCGTTATCAGCCGATGCGTCATCCGAGATCCATTGACATTTTAGAATGGTTACTGCAGGTGTGGTATTTTCTGGCTTCTTAATTTACTCTTAGATGGCTTTTTAATATTGCTATTGTATTTGACCTTTTGGTTGGTGAACTCCTTTCGTCTGTGTACCGTACTATTTTCCGTAAGGTAACCGAAACCGGATGGTACTTAAAATTGCGGAGTAGTAAGTAACGTGCTGTATTTACTACGGCACCACGCTCACTTTTTTCTCAAATTAGAGAGGAAAATGGGGGTGCGCGTCATGGGCGGGTACTGCATACTTGAACGTTTTAGAAGTTTAGGTGTGCATTATGCAGTATTTAGTCCTACATTAATGGGAAATTTTGGACCAAGTTTAGCGGAAAAAAAATATTTTAGTACAGTGGAAATTATTGAAACTTGGTTTAATTCAGGATTAATTCGTCTCGAAATTCCAATATGGCTATTTTTACTGTGGGAATATCGTATTTTTAGAGTCAATAAGAATAGGGTGCCTCCTCTTACTGCGGGATATGGTTTTATGAAAAATTTTGAGTAAAAAACCCTGATGCGCGTCTTACCCAATTAAATACGGAAATCCAACAGAATATCGATAATTCATTAGAATCCCCTGAATTACGCAGAATTTCTTGGGAATCTTTCTCATCACCCTTGAATTTGCTTCAGTTTTCCGCTGTTTATCCTTAAAATTTTAATTGTAAGAAGGAGATCATGGTATGAAGTCGTGAAAATCCTGAAGATTCCTGTTAATTTCGGAAAAAGAAGTTGTGAAGTGGTAAAATCGAAGCGATGGACCTGGTTTTCATCGACAAAAAATTAATCATGAGATCTTGGAGAAGTGTGAGGATTAGAGGTGTTCGTGGAAAATTATTTCTTCGTCCCGAATCAAGTTTTAAGGCCTTTACTTGTGCATTTTTAATTTCAACAGACATATATTTTTTCTGTTGAAAAATGAAAAGTTTGATGATCGTCACAAGTTTAGTAGTCGCTCGTGTTCTATGCAGTATCGATTCAATTGGCGTGCCTCGCTAATTTTTCTCTCTCCCTCTCTCACCCCGTTGACGTAATGACAGAAGTCTGATAGAAGCGTAGTATGCTGCGCGTTTTTCCGGAAATATTCAATAGGATAAACCCCGGATGGCGCTTAACTGTGATGATGATCTCAAGAAGAGGGTACCGGCTCACGAAAGATTACTTTTTGTAGTGTTGGGAAGTGTTTCGGAGAATTCTGCATGCTAAGTTTTATTTTTAATACTGTTCGCACGTGGCCTATGTGGGCTGTAAGAACTGGAGAAGAACGTATATTTTGTATAATTTTTTTCCTGCAGTTTGTTGGAGCCGTGTTGATTTTTGCGTGTTCAGAGGTGAAAGAGTTCACGTTCCTTACTATTTGCTTGCTGATTGGCTGTCGATACATCCCACAAAAGCTGTGTGATGCATTTGCTGAACGTTTGCAAGGATTCAGGTTAGATTTTATTTTGCGCTCGTATGTTCATGTACTGAGTGCATTGATACTTTTAAAAGCACTTCTATGTTTTCATAAAATGCATGATTCTCCTATTTTTTCAGGGACGTTGAGGAATTTTTCGAGTAACACACGAGTTGGGTTTTTATTTTCAAAGAAATTTCATTCAATGACTCAAAAATTCTTGTGAAATTCCCGCAGATGCATAAATATTTTGTGTTATTCATTTATCGTTCGTACGAACAGGTATCGGTTTGCGTTCTTTCGTCCAGCTCCTCGGTATTTGACCGAGCAGGAATATATCGAACAAGGATACATAGAAACCAGGCGCGAACTTGATGAATTGAGAAAATTCTGCTCCAGTCCACAATGCAACGCTTGGAAAACTGTAAACCGTCTCAAGGATCCCAAAAGGTTTGTTTCTTCTCTTAGAATCGTACAACAAGTCGAGAATCGAAAATGTTCTCATCCAATTAGGCTAATTTTTCGATAATCGAAAGGTCGTTGATCCTGGAAATTAATTCAGTACTAGGAAGTTCATGGAACAACAACTTGGTCTCCTAGTCTGGCTAAGCCAGAGGTTCAATAGTCTCTTGTTCAGTTTCGTCAATGGTTGAAGCAAATATGGTGTCAAAAATTTTACTCTAAATCGATAAAATAAGCATTTTCAAATATTTTGAATGTGTGATGCAATGAGCGCAAAGAAGTGCTGAATTTCTTATGAATTTGTGGAGAGAAAAAAACCTGCTTTAAATAGAAAATAAAAAAATGGGAACGAATAAGGCCTTGATGTATCATGGAATTGTATTTGCTACTCACTAAATACAAACTTGAGCACTTCCTATGTGCCCGTAGGAGAAAACTGTGACTTGTTACGACTTGGCGTGCAATGGAAATGCAGTCGTGACAGCGAGTGACGTCTAAGCACGTTTTAAAAACTAGAGAAAATTATCCACGTCCATTGCAAATTGTTCACTACACAATAGCCTTTTGGAAATAATGTTATGTTTTTTTCTTTATAGTAAATATCTTCTTGTGACGAGTGAGATGTCTTATCACATTCTCTCCTGTAACCAGGAACAAGAGCAGAGTTTCAAAAGAATAACTTCTTTTGTTAGGCATAGAAGCTATTGATCAAATTCGTGTTGAATTGTGTTCGCTTTTCTAACTGTGAATATGCGCCATTTTCGGAACAGGTTCGCTGAATTCATCGACGGAGGACACCATATCAAGGATGACGAAATCCTCGCGTATGATACTTTCGAGTCCAAGACCCCGATGTCAGATGATGATGAGGATGAAGAGAATTTGGAAACAGAACTCACGGCCCCTACAACATCACGAACATCGTCAACGGGTGCAATGTCAGCAACGCCGATCAGAAGCCGCTTTGGTGCATCTTCTTCTCGACACTCGATTCATCCCGTTTCGAGAGGAGTACTCAAAAGTTCTCGCGAAACTGGATTGTCCGAAAGTGATAACGACAGTTCTTTCGACCAAAACGTCACAAATGGGAACAGTAATCGTTATTATGAAGCGTTCACCCGGTGATCGCAAGAACTACGAAATACGAAGATTATTTCCCCTTTTTTTTCGTTTCCACGTCGTGGGATATTTGTGATAACTGTGAAAATGAGCCCTATCCCTCAGATCTACTTTTTGTACGTTTGTATTGACTAGTACTGTTCACAATGTCATTACTTGCCGCGACTCGCCGTAGTGTGTAGTCTATGTTAGAGAACGTTAGCAGCAAATTATTGAAGTTTTCCTGTTTATTTTCTTGCAGAGTTGAAACAGTGATTTAGTGTTGGAGATTTTGAAAATGAGTAGCTCCGTTTGTGAAGCCCTGTTTCAGCATGTTGCGACTCCTGTTGAGTCCTCTGGGAGTAAAGTTACCGTTGTCGGTGTTGGGCAAGTAGGAATGGCTTGTGCTTTCTCCATGCTCACCCAAGTAAGAGTCTGATTCAGTGATTCTGCATTTCTCTATCATTGTCTTCCAATTAGAGAAAATTTGAAAAATGGCTGCGTTATTTCCTCAATTTCATTTTCGTACTTTTATTCTTCTTGCAGCATATTGCGTCTGAAATCGCTCTAGTGGATGTTCAAGAGGAAAAACTGCTGGGGGAAATGATGGATATGCAGCACGGATTATCATTTCTGCGCAACGTGCGAGTTAAGGCCTCGACTGGTATGAGACAATTTCGTCGAATTTCGGGGATTGGTTGGTTTTTTACGTGCACTTCTCTTTCTCGTTGAAAAGACTATGAAGTGACAGCCGGATCTAAGATCTGTATCGTTACGGCCGGGGCTCGTCAGGTGGAAGGTGAATCTCGACTGAATTTGGTGCAGCGAAACGTGAACATATTTAAGCACATTATTCCCAAGCTTTGTCATCATTCTCCGGATTGCATTCTCCTCATTGTTTCAAATCCTGGTGAGTATCTCCATGACATTCGTCCTGATCTCTTTAATCTTACTAATTTCGATGAATATATTTGATAGTTTACAGTGTTTGATAGTTTCAGGTTCCTCTTGGTGAAAGAATCACGGGGATAACAAACTTTTGGTCTCCAGGAAAAATACCTCAATTAACAAACCAAAATTTGGTAACAAACTTTTGTTCCTGCGGAAAAATCCCAAAATTATAATTTAAAAACGTGATTTTGAGGCTGGAATTTATTGTGCAATGTAACTGCATATACGGTAATGTAATTCATTTTTGTTATGCAAATTCCTTCCTCTGGGCACTTGAAAATATGTAATCTTCTGTTTAATTTTATAAATATTTCAGTTTCATTATTTTCATATGCTCGTCTGTGCTTGGTTTTGTTCTCTGCAACCATTTTTTGGAACTGTCTTCATTTATCACACAGTAAAACAGCGTATTCTAAAAAGCAAGATAATTTTTATGTTGATCATTTCCACCCAAAATTTGCAAAATTATTGTGCAAATTGTGTTGAAAATTTTGTGAAAAACTGTTGACCTGATTCAACAGTTTTTGTACTGGTACCTGAAAGAGAACTGCGCAACAGCCAGGAATACAGACTAAAAAAAAATAAGAATTCAAAATCAGGGAAAGAAATGTGTGGCTGAGGAAGTTAAGGATACAATCACCAGAAATTGAAGGTGAGGTTAGATTTCACTGATGGTGCAAGACTTATGTCTCCCACTGCCTCCCTGTCTGCCAAAATAGTCTTGGATTTTGTAGAATTTATCTTATTCTGAGCTTGGACCACAAAATTTTCATTGCTCATTTTAATGCGCGCGGGGGTCTTAACGGGGTTGGACTGATTTTGTTCCGTCTTCACCCACAGTTGACATCCTCTCGTACGTTGCCTGGAAATTGAGTGGATTTGGGAAACATCGCGTGATTGGATCTGGCACAAACTTGGATTCTTCGCGATTCAGGTTCCTCATGAGTCAACGGATGAAAGTCGCCCCGTCATCCTGCCATGGATGGATAATCGGGGAACATGGGGATTCGAGTGGTACGGTTACTTGAACCGATGTTCGTCTATAGCTTCGTTTTGATCCAGATGTTTCTGCCGATTTTTTTCCTGGGTAGTTGCGGTTTGGTCGGGCGCCAATATTGCGGGTGTGAAACTCGCGGATTTGAATCCCAAGATCGGCACCCCGGATGATCCCGAGAAATGGGAGGATATTCATCGAGAAGTTATTGAAAGGTAAGACTGCTCTCTAGAAATACAGTACCGTTTATTACATTCTGGTGTCGTATTGCAAGCACATTTTTCTTTCGTTGTGAAGTGCTTACAAAATAATACAACATAAAGGATACACTTCCTGGGGAATTGGGCTCAGTGTTGCTGCACTGGTCAGAGCTGTATTGCGTAACACGCACGAAGTTTTCCCAGTCTCTACCATGGTGCAAGTAAGTTGCAAGGGTTTTTCTTTTTTTCAAGTTCAGTGTTCAGATTACTGATTGATATTGTTCACGGAGGTGTAACAATGTTGTTCCGTTTTCCATGGAAAATAAGTGTAGTACATTGAACTACAGTACAGTATTCTGCAATACACCGAGGTACAGCACATTTACGTATATCTTCCCTCTCGATTATATTATTCAAATACATATATTTTGGTTCATAATCGAATTGAAGAAGGAAATTTCTTCCCGATCTTACAAGCACAATGAAAGAAATTAAGCTCCCGTGCATTTATTTTTTGTATTCGTACCCGTTTTCGGTGGTGATTTATTCATAATTTCATGCCACTTTTTTGTGCAAGTGAGACCCTAATGTGGCCCAATTTTTTGCACTATGATGGTCTTGTCTGTGCGACAATATTTATGGAGTACAATATTGAATGCAGGCATTTGAATGAGTAATGCAACATTAATAATAAAGCACATGTTGACTCTTCCCACAACCTCGTGAAGCCCAGGATATCTGTAATGCTTTCTTGAAAATAAGAATGATGCGCATAAAATGTTTTCATGCTACAATATTATGAATGCGTTTTTTGATGTTTTATCGCCTCCAGGGTTATCATGGTCTTGACGAAGAAGTTTTCCTCTCCTTGCCCTGTGTTCTTGGAGAAAATGGAGTCAACTACGTCGTTCAGCAGACCTTGTCAGCTGCTGAACGGGCATCGTTGGAAAAATCTGCCAATGCAATGAAAGTGGTACAAGCCGATATTGAGTGGTAGGTTTACAACTTTACAAGCGCAGCGCCTTACTGAAAAACCAGGTATTAGGAGGATACCGGTGAGAAAGAGCGAGAGATCTGAGCATTTAGGGAAAACTTGTCGCAGAACACGTCATGCAAACGTGGGCCTGATTTTGGGGAAACTACAATTTTCCACCTTTTCGAATGAAAGTGAGCATTTGAGGCTAGTTTGAACTACAACAATTAGTCTGCGTAGAAATTGTGCATCGCAACGAATCGAAGGTCTCTCATTGCAAACCCAGTCATGGGAATCTCTGGCGTCATCGTTTAATATGAATTTGTCCTCCATTCGTTATGTTTACGGTTTCCTTGAAGAAACCAAGACGCTTATTGTATTTATGCTAATCATTCCCACCGGTTCCTGTGTTTTGGTGCTTACGGACAAATGCTACAGGGTGATGAAAATTACAGATCATGCAGTTCTTCTTATTGTATGTTTCTGGTGGATTTTTGTTTTTTTGTTTTTTAAGCTGCGGGCAGAAATTGTGCTGAAATAATTTGTACGAGTCAGTCAAAAACCCACCGGATGTTTGAAGGATTATGGTCATTTTTATGCGTGATTTTGATCATTCCATAGTTGTGTTCTGCGCGTTGCAATATTTCGGATTTTAAGGAAGACATAAACTGTGACCCACATCCACTGAATGCTTTTCGTTTATTTGAGGAACAGCGATCGTACTCGATAATTTCTGTCAAAAAGTTATATTTTATTTTTAGAGCAGGTGGAAACTCAACGATGTTGAGTTTTAGAATTAATGGTGCAATTATTTACCGTGCGATGCGTTTTTCGGTGTGCCAGCGCATTATTGCGGTGTTTTTTCTTGCTTGTTGGAATTTCATCATCGGTGCGAATACAAATGGTGAGTTTGAAACCCTGTGTGAAGTTGCGCCTTGATGCTAATTGGTTGCTTTCATTTTTTTCAAGGGATTTTGCGTAGTTCAAGTGGAACGGGAATTTCCATCATAAACGTTACCTTGTGTTACTATCGTTTCGAAGAGGAGGATTCGTACATTTATTCTCCTGGTTACCCTGGAAAGTATCCGCCGTTTTCGGATTGTTCCTACGAACTAGTCAGGCCATCGAGAAATTACTGCGGTGTAAAACTGTTCAGTAAGTTTATTTTTCAAGCACTTTAGATGATGAAACTTTCGTGTTGCTTGATGCAATATTTCCTTGTGCAGTGGAACACTTGGAGTTGGAGTACGATGCCAGAGACCCCTTTTGTCAACGAGATTACCTCGAAGTCTTGTCCTGTGTCCCTGTTGGGTCTTCACGTTTTTGCAGTCGCGAAGTTGGAACTTCTTGTGAGTTTGCCGAAGAAGGCGCCTACGTGTTTTGACACTGTTGCACTTTCTATTTTTCCTCCGAAATTCTTCTATTCCTAACTTGCAGTAGAATCTCGTGACGAAGAAGCGTTCAGGACATTGCAAACAGCTTCGTTGTTAAGGAATGTCCGGTCAAACGGAATTAATATAACATTGATGCTGCTGAGTAAGGATCGGAAAAACAAACTCGTTATTCGTTTGTATTATTCGTTTCAACGAGATTCTGCTGTTTATTGAACCGCCTCAGCCGACGTGGATTTTCTTCTGACTGAATTTTTCAGAAACGTGAACTTGACAATAGTGGAATTTTGCAGTTCTTATGGTGCGTTCAAAACATAACCCTCAGTCACGTTGTTCGATATAATTATAAAATGAAAAATTAATTTGCGTTTGGGAAACGGTTTTATTTAGGGAATTGTTTTTTTTTTCTTCTTTTAGATCAATACGTTTTTCAAGAAGGTGCGGTGAGCATGAAGTTGAGGTTTGTAAGTGATGGAACCCTGTCAGGATTTGGGTTTCGTATTCGTTACCAAATGCTGCAAGTTTGTTCGGGTCCATTCTTGACCCCGACAGTCTCGGTCATTCCTGGTTTGGGTGACAGTGAAGATCCACCCGTGTGCTACACGAGGATAAAGGATCTGGAGGGAACTATTTTTACTCCGGGTTACCCACGTGGATATTTGCCGAACATGGACTGCATCTACGAATTCTTCAGGTAATTTTTAACGTGACTGATGACAGGTGTGCCTACCAGAAAAACTTTTGAGAGCGTTGCAAAAACAGTGGTTGACCAAAACTATTACAGAAAGCATCAGTGCGTAGCGGGTTCTCAGTGTCGGACGATTTCGTAAATTTTATTTGGAAAATAGCCACGTTCAAATCTGTTCTAAACCACTTATTCCTATTTATATTGGCAGACTAATCCAATTTCCGTTTTTCCTTCAGATAAGTAATAGTTTCCTTTTGTTCTCTTTTTTCGACGCGACGTGTTTTGCGCAGTGCTGAACTGTCCTGGCGCGGTTTTTTTTTATGATTTCGAAAGACAGAAGATTAATTTTGTTAATGTGATGAAATTTTCAGGCGTGATCCGTTCATATGCGGGGTGAAAATGAACTCCGCATTCTTTGATCTTGATACTCCATTGCCAATTCCGGGTGGCCTGAGTGCCTGCACGGATTTCTTCCAAGCACCATCGTGCGGATTTATATGTGGAACTTCTAATATTTCATGTGAGTAGCATCATATCTTTATCCTAAATATGCGTTAGCACGTCACACGAAACGATTTCAACAGAGGAGATAAATAATTATATACATGTATATTTAATTATCTTCTCTGTCGAAATCTTTTCGTGTGACGTGGTAACGCATAGCCCATGAAATGACTGGTTTGGCGTATGTAGTACTTGTATTAACACCGCATTTTATTTTGCAGGGGTTGCTCGTTTTCAACCTGGTGCTACGAGCTTGCGTTTTCATTTCCACTCCGACGAGTCTCGTGAGAAGAGGGGCTTTTTCATTGGCTTCAAGCAGACCTACGAGTGCCTTAGTGTGGACGATTGATTGCTCATACTGTGCAAGCTTTCCCTATTCATGTGCTGTGGTGTTCCTTTTCATTGTGCGAGTCAAGGGAAACGAGTGATCGTGCGAATGGTGGAGTCAGTGGCCCTCAGGAATTTTTTGGAATCTCTACGAGCTTATCAAACCGATCTGAGGTAAAAGTGGCTGGTCGAAGAAAACTAGTGGGAAAGATGTTGTGATAGATTTTGGAGCAATGTTTTGAACAATTGGGTCTGGTTACTTTTGTACGTTTTTCGTAGCTGTCATTTGGAACCGTGAGATCGGTCGGGTGCTATTCTTGCATTAGCAGTAGAAAAAAAAGAAAATAAAAGGACCGAGAATTTGTTTACAAAGCATTCGTTTGCTTGGGCATCATAATTCATTGCTGATGGATTAAATGAAGTGAACAATTTTTCACAGGTTCGAGTTATTGTGAACGTATCAAAATGTCCGTCGGCGCTCAAATTAAGGCTTTGTCTTTTTCTTTGCTTTTTCTCATTTTGGACTACCTCAAAAATTTGAGGAAGAAGTTTTTCGCGCATTTTATCAACAGCTTCATGGATGGTTACAACCAGCTAAACGACGAGCTCAAGAAAAAGCATTTTGAGTGAGTATGGAAAATTGTTTTTCAAAATTGAATTAAAAATTAGCAGTTTTAAAAGATTTCAAGGCATGGTTTTAATTTTTGCATGTGTGTGTGGTCTCTCAGGTCGCTTGGCAACGTTCAATCAAAATCCGAACCTCTGCGGGGAGCAAATAAGTTCTCATTGGTCGAAGTTGGCGTTGGTAGCGGTGCCAATTTCAAGTATTTGCCCAGCAACTGTGTGATGACGGTGGTTGATCCCAACCCGCATTTCCAAAAGCTTTTCGAAGAGAATAAGAAGAAATTTCCTGAAATTGAAGTGTCTAAATTCATCGTGGCCGCTGGTGAGGACATGCATGAAATCCCGGACAATTCCGTGGACGTCGTCGTCGTCACACTGGTATTATGCAGTGTTCAGTCGCAAGCTGCGTTTCTCAGTGAAGTAAAACGAATTTTGGTACCCGGTGGAAAATTCTACTTCTGGGAACACATTGGTGATACGCAGGGTACTTTGATGCAGCGGACCCAGGTGGTTGGGGATTATATTTGGCCCTATATTTTTGATGGCTGCAGAATTGCGAGGAACTCTACTGAGGAAATTGAAAGATCTGGGTTCAGTGGGTGCAACTCGACGAAGTTTTATGTCAGGGCTCCGGATACTGCGTACTTCTTTCAGCGATGGATTTTGAACTACTTCATTGGCTCGCATGTTCGTGGCGTTGCCACGAAATAGATGGAATAATTTTCATCAACTAGAGGCAGCGTAACTACATTGGTTAAGTTTTAGCTTTCAACAGCCGCTAATAATTGTTTTGTCTGTTAATTGGAAGTCTTTCATTCCTGTTGTTTACTTAATGAAAGGAAGATCAGTCTTCAGAAAATTTTAATCGATATGAATTATCCTCTCGGTGGTGCTATTTGATCGTTTCCAGCCGTGACACACAGTTGTCGCAGTTGTAACATTGTGTGTTGCTTTCCATTTCGCATCTTTCGCGTTTTGAGGTAAATCGGGGGAAGATGAAAGATATCGCCTAGCTTCTCCTATCGAATCTTTGCGTGGGGATTGGCTCTGCTTATGGCTGATGACACGGCTGTAGAAGTTGGTCATTTTGAAGACGGCTTCTGATTCTGGCGTGAATTGACTCGGGTCTTCGCATGATACATTCAATAAATCGACTCCGCATTCCGCGGCGAAAGCGATTGTGTAGGAGTATCTAGATTCGGCTCCTCTCCACTGGGATGCACTAACGCGGTCCAGATTGGTGCCGACGAGGATAGCTGGGATTTTGATTGATTTTGTGCCCTCGGACCAAGTGAGGCCGATTACTGTTGAGGCTATGTCTGGAAAACTTTTGCTCGTTTTCATGCCGTCTGTATGGAAAGGGAGAAGAGATTTCCATGTAATTTGTGAAACCAGTATCTTTTTCGTTCCATAATATTAATTTTTACGATCCTCTAGGATTTTCAAGAACTTACTGTACTATGAGAACTTCGTAATCTACCGGAGTTCTTTGCTTTGTCGTTTACTGACGGATAGTTTTAGTTTTGAGTAGATGTTGCAGTCGATTTTGTATCGAGTTATCCTGAATTCCATCCGCTCATGACTTTTTCACATGAACATAGGACACAGCGTAAAGAATTGATTAGTTTCTAGTTGGCTTATTTTCATTTTTTAAGAATTCTAAAATACAATTTTGCTGTATAACATGCGTCAACAAACTGATTTGGAGCTTCTTTCAATTTTTTTTTGTGAGCGTACGTTTCGTCTAAGATTTGAAACGTGAAAAAATTGGCTGCCTTTTTCACTTCACGGTAGCTTTCTGGACACACAGTTTGTTTTCGGGGTAATTTTCTTTCCATTTTGAGGCTACTTTCGTGGGGTAAATTGGTTGAACGCGTAAGAAAGAATTTCGTCGAATAAGACATGTGCAACTTCGAAATTGTCGGAGAAAGAATACCTTTCATTGGTGGTTGCAGTAAATTGTTCGAAAGTGGTCCTTGTTCATTTCGTCTGAATGATGGGATCTCACTTCCGATCCCAACGGTATCAACGAAATGGCGAGATAGTCTGCTGAAGTTGCTTCCAATGGGTTCTTCTTCGTCTTCAATGCCGGACAAAGATCGATCTAATTCAGACAGCCAAAAGTCGGCTATGTTCTTCATCGAGTTTGCATTAGCCATGTCGAATACTAACACTGCTCCATCAGCCCCGGCCAGAAGGAATCGTCTTGCAGATTTATAGCTGAACAAGCAGAAATAGGAATGTTTCGAGGATTTCGATGAATACGTTGATCTTTTCTCACCGTCTGTGACCCGCGAAGTCGTAGAAATTCACGAACCATAGGGATTCCGATTCCTTCACGCCGAATTTGAGCCCTGTTGTGCACCATGGATTTTTGTACTTGTGTACGAGGGTGTGCACTGAGCAGCCTATTGTCGGAGCTTGTGGCTCATGAACATGGGCACGCGAACCATAGCATAACCAGTTCACCAAAGCAGATTTTCCCACTCCGAAATCTCCGACTACCACGATTTTAATTTCGTTCTGCGGAACGCATCTTTCCACCATGGCTTTGAAAGTGGATTTCAAGTCGGCCACCTGTTTCTGACTGGAGCTGGCTAGAAACATGCTTACTCACATGCTTATCCTTGTCGATGACGCTGCGATTTGTTTGCGTCTGTCTTTTCTGAAAGAAAATTTTTCTCAAATATGAATTTTAAACACTGCGGATGATTTTCGTTTGTCTTGATGAAGCTTATGCTGCTTAAAAGCGTTTGATCTTTCAGACAATCTGATGTGCATAATTGTACCTAAAAGAATACTGGGTTTAGGGAAACAATATTTTGTCGAGGATAAGCGTGCGTTTTTTGGCGGTTGGGTTTTGGGTTGTTTTTTTTTTTTTTTTTTTTTTTTTTTTTTTTTGTTTTTTTTTTTTTTTTTTTTTTTTTTTTTTTTTTGGTTTGTTTTTTTTTTTTTTTTTTTTTTGCGCGTGTCGGATAGCCATCGCGTATTTCTCTAAAATTTTGCGAATTCATGCATTCGAAGCTGTGTTAATGTCGCTTTTCGGAATGGGTTTTTTGTTGTTGTTTTTGGGCAGAAAGAAATTCTGAGCTTGGTGCTAAGGATGTTTGAATAGAAAGAGATTTCTAAATCGGTGATTTTTGTTGATCGCTTCTGATTCTGGTTTCATTGAAATCTCTGCGTGTGATACTAGTTGAGAGTTCATCGTTGAGCAGAAGATTATTGTTTCGGTGACGAATCCACGTGTTGAGTTGGACTTTGATCGAGCCATGACTTATCAGAGCGTGTTAATTACTGAGTAACCGTCTGAATTTTCCCAGACGATCGTTGGTTTTCATTTCTCTCAGACTTCGGATCTATGAGGCCATTCTCTGCTGCATTGCGTTGACGATTTGCTGGGATTTTTGTTTTCCAGATCAATGAATAATTTGAAGCTGTCGAAGGCTTATATTGAGAAGTCGTGTGTTGAACGACTATGGCGTCGACGGGTGTGAATCCGCTGGCTTGTGACATTTGCTTTGAAGACTTTGATCAAAATGCACGAAAACCTCTTGTGCTGCCGAAATGCGGTCACACTTTGTGTGCGTTTTGCGTTGTGCAAATAGCTGAATCCGGAAAAGTGAACTGTTGTTTCTGTCGCAAGACCTCAAATCTCTCGGAGATTGTCCTCAACTACGCCGTGCTCAACATCGTTGTGTTCTCCGTCAGTTCGGCTTCGAATCGGACACCAGATGGTCCCATTTGTCGGAAACATTCGCTGAAAGCCTTCGGGTTCTGTCAGAAGTGCGAATATTGGGTGTGTAGAGTTTGTTGGTTGAAGGCGGCACTTCTCGGGAAATTTGGTCAAGGACACAAATCCGATCATCGGACCATCACTGTAGACGAATTCCTGAAACCCTTTCACGACGCAGAGCAGAGTTTGAGGAATCAGCTTGCGTCTCATCGTGAAGCGGGATCCCGAATACAGGAAGTGATCTTGGAGGTACAGAAGATCTGTGGACAGCCTGGAAAATTCTCGTCAATTCAATGCGCGACGACATTGAGCAAGGTCGACTTAATGGGCGAAAGCAATAGACCGTGTCCGATTCGGATTCCTCCGCGAACCCGAAGAACGGAGACGAGTGGAGTGAAATCATCAGCGAAGAAAGGTGCCGTTGTGGCTGTTCTGTTGGCGTTTCTATTCAGTCGATTTCACGCATGGATCTTGACATCTGTCTCAGAAGGTTTCGTAGATGTATACGATGGGTTGTTCTTCGGGATTTGGAGGTCAGCTGTCGCACTCTCTGTAATCTCATTTCTCTCGAGTGTGATAGTAGAAAGAATTGCCGGATTTCGTTCAGAAATTCTGGGATTCTGAATAATTTCCTGGGATTCTGGGATTCTCGCGAGTCTTTGTTTCTCAGAGACGCCGCTTGTGTCGTTTGGGGAAAGCAAAGAAATATTGATGTTAGTGAATGATAAAAATCCGAGTGCGTCGGAAAAGTAGGGCATCAACCATGAAATCTCCTGCAAAGTTGTCAGATTGTCCTTCCGAATCACCGCAACTCCTCGCGTTTTCTCAGGTTCACTTTATTTAATTCATTTTACTCATATCACGAGAATTTTTCGTTCAGCATGTTGAAGTGATTTTTCGCTGGGAGTTCAAGCCATGTGTCTTGAAGATTTTTGCATTTTTCTTCTGTGAGTGGGAATTGTTCTCTTCAAAGAAATCTAATGTGAGAATGCTGTTTATACCTGACCAGGGTTTTCGTACATTGAACCAGGTCATGTTCGCTTGTGGTTTCTCTAGTACTGTAGCTAATTATTTCGAGATTTAAAAAAATATATTTTTAGTACAGTAGTAGCAAGAACCGATGAACGACATTGTACCGGCTTCTGAGAGTGATATTTTTAGAGATGCTTTTTTTCTAGAATTGAGTGAGGTTTTTCACGATGGACAGACATTTTTTTCGAGATTCTCATTGGCTAAATGTGCTGAACAAAGAAAAATGTGGAAATCGTTTGTGATGGATCTAGTGATGGACTATATTTGTGGAAAATCCCTATCGTGACATCTGCGAACGTATTTTGACTAATTGGAGGAGGCTGAAGGTTCGTGGAACTTGTGATCAGGTTGTGTCTTCTTAGGCATTGTGCTGACATGAAATGCACGGTGAACTTTCCATTGCTTGACTGAGTGCCGCTTTCCGAGCAGCCGTATTTTATCCAGGACTCAGTTCCGGTTTCGACCATCCTTATTTTTATCCAGGATTACTATTGCAGTTACGCGAGAACAAGATTTCGTGCTTTTTTTCACGTCTTTAGAACTGAAGTTCTCAAGTGAATTGAATATTAGTATTATTTCAAAGCGTGCTTTGAATTTAATTTTTTGTGACGACTGAAATTCTCGCAATATTTTTGTGTTGAATTTTCAATTCTCTGAATTTTAAAATGACCATATCAGTATAAAATGTTGAAGGACTTAGTGAGGTGTATATTACTGCATTTCGGTGGGTGCAAATTTTGCATCACCCCGTGAAATGGCATATTCAGTGCTGAGTTTAAGATTATTATGAGACGCGTCTTTATTATTTTAGTCCAAGTCGCGGAAGAGTTAGTCTTATTATTTGTATGCATTCTGTGGTACGGATTGTAATTGAATAACTTTTTGCGATGTATATTTTTTTCCTTAGACGGTTCAATTGAGCATCGTACTCAGGTTTTCCTAGTTTTCCTCGCAATTTTCCAGTCAAGTCGTCCGAATAAAAATTACGTCACGCGATCAAACGTCAGTTCTCGGTCTAGTCGTGGTTATCTTGGATATAAATAACGGCCGCGAGGAAATTTTTGCATTTGAGTTTATTTATAACTTTCATTCTTATACTTTTTTCGTGTTGCTGGATATGCTAGCTTATTTTCTAGCAATGGCGTTGCCCGGTCTCCCGCCGTTGCCGAAAAGCCTGAGCGTGTTGATCTCTAATGATCAACAGCATCGTGCTCGCGTTAGTGCCGAAAACAACGCGAAAAGCTCGACCGTGACGAATAGGACCAGAGAGCTGATGGCCCAGTTTCAATCTTCGGACCGACCTCAGCCTAGTGCCCGAGGAGTGCCGCCACCAGCGCCGCCACGGCCGTCGAGGTTATCGGCGTCACCCTTGAAGGGAACCACTGGTCCGACCCCGGCGCCCAAACCGCTTATGAAGCCTCCGCAGCAGAACTTTAGGAAATTTGATTCTCAAATGGGCCAGCTCAGACGGGAAATGGTGAAATTATTTTTAAACAGCGATGAGGCATTCAACTGTTTTGCTGACAACGTTTTTTCTCTTATCTCGATAGGATGGCCTGAGGCAAATGGACTTGTCGTTGCTGTACCAGCTTTGGTCGCTGAACGATTCCATTCAAGAGTACAAGCAGGTCGTCGAAGCTGAAAGGGTAAAATTGAAACTGTTTTTTTTTATTGAGGGCAAGAACTTCTGACCAAATTCGTATTATTGTATCTATTTCTGAGAGCCTCCATGAAACATATTACGCGTCCAATGATAGGGTATTGATGGAGGTATAGGATTGGGGACTTAGCTAAATCATTTTTTTTCTTTCTTGAAAAAAAAAGAGTAAAATTTGACTCAGTTATATGCGCGCATCTGTGAAGCAGTTGGTGTGTCTCATGAACTTACTATGCGATAGTCTTGTATCGAGGAAAGTTTGACAGGGATTATTTTAGGCAGAATTATTTCAAGACGGGGACTAGTCAAGTCAAACATTTCGAGACGGAGACTATTCAAGAAGGAAGAACTGCAAGACAGGAACTATTTCGGCAGGAACATTTTGAGACTTTTGTAAATAGAGACGGGAATTTCATGCTCTAACCACCGTATAAAACTCTGTATCATGCTTACTGCTTTAGATTTACGATGATTGTATTCAATGTATGTACTGTGGGATAATTCTGCTTTTATTCTGATTGAAATTTTGAAAATTGTCAATTGTTAGGCCTATTTGTAAACATCTCTGGCAGATCTTAAGGTTCTTTTCATGTGAACAGTCGACGTCGTTCTTTGCAATACCATGCTGGTGCTGTCTGAAACATCACTACTTAACGAAACCGAATGCATAACCTAATTAAGTTATTCGATTATAGTATATTCAAGTCAACCGAATGTAATTGAACCTTTGTTCACTCAAGGAAAGGAAAAATTTAGGCATTCGCTATGAAAAGCATAGTACATCAAATGGTTCGAAGTGAAACGAACTGGCGTCACGTGCTAGGCACGTTTGCTGAACGAATTCATAATTTTCTGCATTGGACCCCTGATCGTTCGCGCCGTATTCATACGACTGTTGAATAAGACATTTTCTAAATACTGTACGACGGGTCAACTTTCGTGTTGATTTTATTCGTTTTTTTTTTCATATTCCAAGGCATGGGAGTCCGAGGCATTGTATTCGGATGCGACGATGGATGAAATATACGAGAGAGGGCCTCCATGTGGAAACGGAGATAACTATTCAGGAAACTCATCCCGCGACGCCAGCAGAATTTACGACTCAATTTATGAAAATTCTGGGAGTACATCGAGCATCGATTATTCTAGCTTTAAAAAATGATAGCTTTTTAGACGCAAGAATTACCGGACACAATCGTGTGCATTTAATCAGATTTTTTTTTCAACCACGTTAACTGTTTTTGGAGATGAAATCTGAATCATTAAAATTTGCTTGGAACACAAGGAGGAACGCGATGATCTGCACGATGCTTATCTTTCTGTTCAATCGCGTATATTGGTTTTTGTTTTATCCTTTCGAGGCTGTGAACCATGACCGTAGCATCAACATAGACGATTGTTTGAATGTTTGGAAGAGAAGCATGAAAATTGCATGGTTGGAATCATTGTGGGTTTTCTATTTTAAATCGGGCAACCTCCGTTTTAGCTTGTTTTCCGTTGACAAGATAGACCCAAGAGGACCGATTTTTCGACATTGATGCCTCTTAAATATTTGGAAAAAATTGGGAATCAAAGTTGCTTTGATGAAAAAAATTAAACTGTACAAAACTTTTTGTATTTTATTTTATGAGCATAATTCTTGGAATGGCTATGGGTTTATAAAAGTGTGAATTCAGCCGAAGTCATGAGCTTTAAAGTCGTTCAAAGTGTACCTCTTTATGTTGAATCTTTTTTCGAAATGGTGCATAGAATGTTCGAAGATCAGTTTCCTACTGTCTCACTCTCCCTGTTGTATTAGAGTTCGTGAATTTCTCTTCTAGCTCATCTGAAGAAAAGTTTTTCGAAATTTTTTATCTTGATTCGACTTGATGATTGCACACAGGGTTGCGCAGCGTAATATCCTTTTTAAAGTTACGGAGGTTGCTAGGACGAACTTTTTAAATGTTTTGATTTCTTTCGGTACTTGGAACGCTCTAATAGCTATTGATTCTTTGTTTTGTGGTACTGTACTTGGTTGGCAGGTATTGTGAGTGAAAGTCGAGCTTGTGATTCGATTCGGCGAGAATGTCATTGTACGATGACGAAGACATTGGAACCGGCGTTTCAAAATGGTCTCCGGGAGGAATGAAACTGTTGCAGAGCCACGTGCAGCAAAAGAACAGAGTCAATCAGTTAACTGGCCTTGTGAGTAACGCGCTGGCGGCGAAACAGTTCTTGCTCTTTTTTCTTTGGGGGTGATGAACGAGTATTGCGGGAAAATTTGTCTTGTCCACGAAGACGAGAAATCGTGAAATTGATTATTCTGTGCAACGTGAATGTTCCAAGGCGTCCAAGAGTAAATCGAAGCAATGGATCGCTCCGGTGGTGGATCTCAACTCTAAAGACTCCGGTTCGGGGTTTCCAAAATCCGGGGCGATGTTCGGCACGTCGAGGGCTACAAAGGTTAGCAATTTTTTTCCGTTTCAATACAATTTATCGTCTTCAAATCGAACTTCAAGTGACCATGAAAAAATCCGAGCTAGGGAGATTTTCAATTGGAGAAATTTGCATTTTTGTTGTGGGTGAGAAAGATGAATAAGAGGAAATCGTAATCTGATATTCTGGTCCTTGAATTGCTTCTTGATTGAGTTGACAGAATGCTGATTTTGGAGGCAAGGGTTAATTTGCCCAATCACTCTTGAATTTTGTTTCAAAACACATCGTTACATAACTTACATTTATTTCTTTTCTCCTTACTGTTTCAATAAACTATTACCCAAAAGACTTCCAGAATAATATAGTTCTAGAGGTTTTAATGCCTTGGAGTTAAAAATTTTTAATGCATTGTTTCTAAGGAAATTTAGAGAGGGACTTGAAAAAGTTCGACATCATCGGGAGATTCGATTTATCGAAGTTGAACTGAATCCGTTTTTTTTTTTCGAATTTCTTCTCTTTTTCACGTGTTCAACGTATCTTGATTCCATCCTAATTTCTAAATATATCGCATGTTGTTGAAGAGGATTTTTGTATTTGAGCGACAGACGAGGTGATGATGAAGTTTGTTTTGCGCGAAATTGTTCTGCAGAACATTTTGGATAATTGATTTTTGACTTACGAATCGCAGAATATGAATTTTAATTTGCTGCAGTGTACTGTATATGTGGTATTTGGTTGCGTTGAACGCTCCGTTTTCTTTTCCTGGTTTATTTTTTTTAAAGGAGAGTCAAAGTGCGTTGGCAACTGCGTCAGCCACTTTGCTGTATAGCGATCTGGCGACACCAGTAAACGAAGAATACGATCCGCTCAGACCGAACGACTACGAGAAAGCTGTGAAAGGTATTCGTTTTGATGGTACGGTAACACTTGAAAATTATCAAGAAGTCACTATGCTGCGATACATTTTTGATTCGTATGATCCAAATTCCTGCTCGATCCGGTTGAATGAAGAATTTTTCAGTGCGGGCGAATGTGATTGACTCTCAAAAATTTCATTCTGATTGTTTTATCGAGGGGTTTCGAGTTTTTCTCTTGAAATTGCCAATTTTTCTGATTTGGGCGGATGTCACTGGCAGAGTTTCAGTAATTTTATTGTCGAACCTCTTCAAGTCGGATTTCGAGAGACCAGCAAAAAAGCATCTTTAAATGAGTTTCGCGTTAAAGAAACAGCTATTTTTGCTTTATATGATTATAATTTATCACAGACAACTAAAATTTGTGATCCTTGTGGCCTTAAACTGCAGAAGAAGTGAGTTGGCAAAATGCTGAACTTTTAGGTAAGGGTTAATTTGTCTTATTGAGTCACTCACTTCCTTGTGAACAGCATCAAGTTAGATTTTTCACCTCTTTTCACTGTCAATAGAATTAAAGCCAAAAGACATCACGAAATTATAATTAAAAAGGTATGAGGGGGAAAACCTGCAGTAAGGGAGGTTTACATGTATTATTTTAAGGGGATTTAGACTAAGAAAAATTCTACATACACAGGACGGTTTTAGTTATCGAGTTTCACAACTTTATTTCAGTACAGTATTATAAATTCGGGCTGAGTTGTCCCAAGTTCGATTTGCCTCTTAGTTTCTCCGATGTGAGCTGAAGCATTGCTCCGAAAGCATTAGAAGAATGATCGTTGTCGTGGAATTTTCAAACCATAATAAATGTCAAGACTTTTTTCGGTACATCTCTCCGTTCTCATAAATCTGAACATTTTGTATTTATGGCGAATTCCGATGCACTTCTTCTTGTGTTCAGTCCAGGATTTCACAAATCAAACGGACCAAATACTTCGTATTAATTCTTCGCAAGCCAAATTTTTGTTGTCGTTTGTTGAACTTGGAAATTAATGAAGCAGTGGATTATGCTGTTCAGAATAATTGCTCTTGATGGAATTATTCGGTAACCTATTCCATTGGTGATGGTAAGCGGTGATGCATATTGAATGCATTTTCCTTTATTCGCATACCTTGCAGCACTGCGGGCTAGGGACGACGAACGTCGATCAGAAGAGGAGAAAACCAGGGATAAGGATCGTTACAGCGATCGTGAACGTAGGAAGCCACGACCGGAAACGGACAGGGACCGAGAAAAAGATAGGGATCGCGAAAGGGATCGTGATCGAAGTAAAGGGGATCGTAGACGCACTCGTGAAGATTCTCCGCCTATGGGAGCGAGGAATTTGGAAGGATTCTGCCGTGTTCGAGGTGAAAGCGACGATGAAGACGATTCCAAATCGAAAAGCAGGGATAAGCCTCGTCGAGACCGTGAGTTTGATTTGTTAAGAAACTTATGCTCCGTTTGTTGTTAGTAACGATCGAGAAGCTTCTCGCCATTTTTATTTTTTTCTATAAAAAAATTAGTCGGAATGTTCAGGTTTTTGTCATGATCACAGTTGTTCAATGGAAACATATTTAATTGGTTCTCCCGTTTATCAAAAATTATTAAGTCCTCCAAAAAGTTCAATAATATTGTTTTCCTCAATTTCAAGATACAGGAAGTACATGTTTCTGTATATGAAGTGGATTGAATGTATGATAACATTTATTTGTAAGTTCAGTGATTATAAATAGCTGAACTTGTGTAAAGATATCAAAAACGCCTTTGAAAAATGAAATTTTCTATTTGTTTTTGAATGTTTGAAATTGTCTCTATCTCGAGACAAAGTCTGTACATCAGGACAGATTTTTAAAATTTCTGTTGTTCTTAAGTCGAATGGTCCGTATGCCGGGTGCTTTCGGAGCCTCGCGCATCAGTTTTTTTTCTTTGAAGCTTAAATCGTACCAGTTTCTGAGAAGTTTCCTTCTATTGATCATCATCAGAAAAATTTTGCTGCATGCCGTTGAAGGACAAACATTTTTTCGTCGTTTTCCAGAAAGAGATTGCTTTGAACGATGTAACCTCTTTCCCCAAGAATATTTCAGCTACCGTGAATGCCCGCAAGCGGGTCATTAGGCGTTGCGAAAACGCTGGTGATGTGTATTGTATTCTTTCAGGGCCTGGGGCAATGATAGCACCTCCTCCGTCACTCCAGTCGGAGAAGGAAAGTAACGGATCTGCAGGATTGAATTCTCCAGCGTCAGGTGGCAGCACGGGCCTTGCGATTGCCGCAAAAATCATGGCGAAATACGGGTATAAGGTGCGAAAAAGATCATTTTTGGCGTTATAAAGTAATGAAGTACAATATTAGTTATTCATCAATTTCGCGTAATTAAATTTGAGGAGACATGGAGCTCACTCAATGAAATTTCGAACAGGTCCCGCCAAAATTACTTACTGTATATGGCCGAGAGTAACCGAACAGAACCGTGCCGAACAGTGTATGAGAAAACGATATTATGCCAATAAACTCTTTCAAGATTGGGACGTCGGTTGGTCTAGTGAAAGGAAACGCTCCTATCGAGAGAATTCGATTCGTCTTTGTTGTCGCGACAATGAAATTGCGAATCAATTCTATTGTTTTCGTGGATTGTATTCAAAACTTGTCTGTTCAACCTGTATGTCTGATTTGTCAACAGGAAGGACAAGGACTTGGCAAGCACGAACACGGAATATCCACAGCTTTGCAAGTGGAGAAAACCAGCAAGCGAGGTGGTCGAATTATTCACGAGAATCAGTTGATGCCGCCGCCACCGGTTCCGGGAGTGGCGCCGGATAATGAAATCGCAGCGAATTTAATGCCTCCCCCACCGCCGCCGGGCGTGATGCCGCCACCACCGCCACCCGGAGGCCCTCCCCCAGGTGCAGTGGCTGCTGCCCCGGCGGCTGAAGAAAAGCCGGAAGACGAAAATAACATCACTGAGATCATGAAAAAACCCTCGAAGGTCGTCCTGTTGAAGGTAATATTTGTATCTACGAATTTTATTTACATTTTTTGATGCTTTCGATTTGAAAAATCATCGGATATGTATCGAATATTTCGGAAAAAATATTGTTTCAACTTTGAAATGTCACAACGTTGTGTAAATGATGAAAATTTTCATAATCGGCGTTTGAAAACGTTTTCTAGAATATGGTCGGACCTGGTGAAGTTGACGACTTCCTGGAAACTGAAGTAAAAGACGAGTGTACGCAGAAGTATGGAGACGTGATCAAAGTGATCATTTTCGAAATACCAAACCAAATTCCGGAGGAAGCCGTGCGCATTTTTGTGGAATTTCGACGAATGGAATCTGCCATAAAGGGTAAGAAAATTGGAGATAGCTTTTTGGGCGCATTGTTTTGCTTCTTGAGCAGCTAAAAATTGTTGATATTTTCCACGTTGAAGATAGTTCATCTTGGATCTTGATAGAAAAACCAATTTGGCTGCAAAATATTGAATCCAATTCGGAAGGAAATAGTCCGATTTGCTCTGGCGTTTAACTCGTCATCATTTTAATTTTCAAATCAGTCTCTCCTTTAATTTTAAATTGAGGGGATCATGAGATGGATTATAATTTAATTTTGAGAAGGTCCATTTTCTAAGCCGAAGAATCTCCTCCTCTTTGTCGAGAAACGTTTTTTCAAACATTTTCTGAATCATCGTCACAAAAATCTTCACATGCCGACTTCGCGTCAACGCTGAGTGAACCGCTTCTCTGCGCTGTTTGAAATGACGGAGAGCGAGTGAGGTGTAATAATGGTCCAGTTGAAACCGTGAGCTAAATTCTCGTGTAATTATTGCCTTTTTGTGTAAGACTAGCCTGCTTGGCGAAACCCCCTTTCCAAACAGGAAATTAGCACCTTCAAAAAGAGCCATCTGGCGCTTGCTACAGAAATTGCGACAGCCCCTCGATGTCATCAGCAGCTGAGAACCTATGGCCCGAAATTTAATCTCTCCGCAGTGGGCGATTTTTCGTTAATTTTCTCTTTTTATCACAGTATTTAAAATTAATGTCCGCGATTTCGTCTTTTTTTTCCATTTTGCAGCCGTGGTAGACTTGAACGGACGATTTTTTGGTGGACGCACAGTGAAAGCTGGTTTCTATGAACAAACGCGGTTCTGTGCGCTTCAGCTAGGAGATTGAGGATAAATCTCAATACAGCTTCTTTTCGCCGTTGGGGAATCCTTCTCTTCTGTTACATTTGTTTGAATGGGTTTTTGTTGATTTGAACCTTGGAACTTTTTATTCGCCGCGGAAGAGCTCGAAGCATTACACCGATTTATTAAAAAAAAGCATAGCATTTATTTTTTCTCCATCGGACCACAGGATGAACATGAAGATTTTGACATACAAAACGGCAACGTTGTGCGAAAGTTTACGAATGAGAATTTTCATCAGTTCGCTTCTTTCAGGCTTCGTCTGGATTTGGCACCAAAGCAATCACGTCGCTCCAATAGTCAGTGTAGTTGTACAGCAGAGTTCCTCTGAAAGGAAAAAAAGAAAAAAATTGGATGCGTTAAAAAGAGGACTTGCCTTATGTGTCAGTCAGAGAACTGTAGTCTCAAAAAGTCGTAATTGACTGAAGTAAGTAAGTCGTAAGTTATAAGACTTAATTGAGGAGATTTCCTCTTGTCATCCCAGTCGTGAAACGATATTTTTTTAGCGATAGTCAATTTTATTGAATACAATAACATTTTTAGCAAAAATTGCGTACGTGTTTGCTACTTCGTGCTTATTGGAGTAGCATGGAATAATCTTTTCATTCAACTTCAGCTGAATTCGTATCACGTGTCAAATCATATTTGAATGACGTAATATGATTATGAGATTTTCGGTTTCCTGATCCCCGTGGGATTGATGGATTATTTTTCTCTCAAGTGCTGTACAGTAACTTGTTGAGACATGCGCTTGACCAAAATATTTCTGAGTAGGTGGAGCCACATGTACGAGGGTTGGTTCATCAGTTTTGTGACTTTTTGCGTAGATCCTGGGAAGTATCAACAATGCTAGCAAAAATTTTACTCGCGTAGAAACATCATTTGGCAATGCTTCAGTGCTGTTCAGCATACTCTCTGCCATTTTCAATGCATTTTTTTTTCATGTGATGACTGCAACATTGAACCCGTGCGAAAAATGAGGTTATGCCTGTTGGTTGATTGACTGATCATCATTAAACACCCTGTGACTTTTGACTGTTCCTGACAGTGACAAATGACGATCTGAAAGGTATTGATCTTGGAAACATAGGGACAGCCTATCAATTCCGCGGTCCAAGAGCAGCTTAATCAATAACTAACGTTACTTGATTTTATGCGCCGTTTTGATTATTGGATTAGCGCACGAAAGGATGCATGGAAATCGGAGGAGAGTAAGCTGAACACCACTGAAATTTTGCCAAATTATCGGGCGCGCTATGCGAGTGAAAAAAAAAGTGTTCGGAATTGCTGGAACTCCATTGGGTCTTTTTCAAAGTACAATAGTCTCAAAAATTATAAACCAAACCCTCGTATGTGCATGGCTGCACATGGTCTTGAAGAACATCATATTTATACTTGAGTTGAGTACTGTACCATCATGCACCATCAAGCAAGCAAGACACGCACCAGGGATTTTCAGTGAAAAATTTAGTTAAAATTGTATTGGAAGCTAAAAAAAGCAATAAATAGGTAGGTGTTGCCGAGACTCATACGCGAGTTTTATGGGAATACTAACGTGAAATAGACGAATCCGGACCGGTCGTTGGGCGCCTGCCAGAGCAACTTGACCCCGTCTTTGGGCTTGTTGTCCGTGTGCGTGATGGCGTTGCAGGGCTTGTAAACTTTGACCCCTGCGCCGGGCATGAACTCACCTCCGTTGACCCACTCGTTGGTGTCAATGTCTCGGGCCTGGATGAAGAATCCCTTGAACGGGAAGCCCGAAATCGTCACTGCAAGAAAGAAACCAAACGAATACGGTATCCTATACTGTATATATATTCTCTGTTATCCCCACGCGGTGAAGTACAATATATGCACATCACGCGCAGAATCAGCGGTTCTCATCTCAAGTGAGTTATTCCAGCATTTATTTGTGGGAGTTCTTCCGATGAGGAGCGGAGTTCGCGAATAGGGTGATTCCTATAAAGGTTTGTTTCACCCGATTAGTTTGTACTTCACATTTGGACAGAAAGCATGTTGGAATAGTCATTTATTGTATCTTGAAATCGAATGATTTTCTCTTGTCATCGTTCGAGAAAAATGTCAGTGCTCGTAATCATCGATCATCTCACAGCCGTGGGTTGCATGTACTGTAAAATCATGCGGTCATGCCAAAATAAGATGATTGATTATTTTTTTAGCTTTTC